GTACGCGAATTCCGCCAAAGGGAGAATTGGCACCCAGTCGTCCTGAGAGAATGAAGTGTAGCATCGCAGGTATTGCTCTAGGGTCTGATTGGTCCTTTCGGTCTGACCATTGGTCTGAGGGTGAAATGCCGAGGAAAGGGATAGCTTGATATCCAGGGCTTTGCACAATGCCCTCCAAAATCTCGAGGTAAACTGCACCCCTCGGTCCGAGACGATGTCTTCGGGAACCCCATGCAGTCTAACGACCTCTCGAATAAAAACTTGCGCCGTCTCGGCTGCTGATGGAGTCTTCCGTAAAGGAATGAAATGGGCCATCTTGGATAAGCGGTCCACGACCACGAGAATTGCTGTGTGGTCCAGTGAAGGTGGAAGCTCGACTATGAAGTCCATAGAGATTTTCTGCCAGGGCCATTCAGGGATGGGTAATGGACGTAGCAGGCCCCACGCCTTATTTCTTGAAGGCTTGTTCCGCTGGCAGATGGCACAGGAGCCCACGTAACTTTTACAATCCTTGGCCATGTCCGGCCACCAGAAGGAACGTCGGAGAAGTTCCAGGGTCTTGACCGGGCCAAAATGTCCTGCCATCGGGTGGTCATGGCAATGTCCCAAGACTAAGGTTCGGGCATCCTCCGGCACCACAATCCGGTCCTCTCCTCCATAGGAGTCCCCCCTTGTTCTGGAGGGGCGCCCCATCGGAGGTAGACATCGCTGTGGACGCTCTCAGGATCTCGGAGCGAAGGTTCGTCTGGAGGGCCAAGAAGTTCCCCGCAGGCAGAATAGTGTCAGGCACTGGGATCTCCTTGGCGTCCTCGTACATACGTGACAACGCGTCTGGCTTCGTGTTTTTTGATCCCGGCCTGTATGTGATATGGAACTGGAACCTCGAGAAAAACAATGCCCATCTTGCTTGTCGTGGGCGCAGACGTTTGGCCGTCCTCAGATATTCCAGGTTCTTGTGGTCTGTGAATATCAGGATGGGATGTGAGGCACCTTCCAGCAGGTACCTCCATTCTTCTAATGCGGTCTTGATAGCCAGTAGTTCTCGATCCCCAATGTCGTAGTTCTTATCCGCAGGGGTAAGTTTCCGTGAGAAGAATGCTACTGGGTGAAGTAATTCCTTGGCGCCCTTCCGCTGGGAAAGGATGGAGCCAACCGCGTTTTCTGACGCATCTACTTCTAAGATGTAGGGCAGGGAGGCGTCGGGATGACCCAAAATGGGTGCCGAGGTAAATAACTTCTTTAGTGCTTCAAAAGCTTCCTGTGCCTCTGGCGTCCATCTGAATCGTGTCCCAAGCTTGGTTAACTGAGTGATGGGGGAGACCAGACCCGAGAAGTTCTTGATGAACTTCCGGTAGAAGTTTGCGAACCCGATAAAACGTTGGACGCTTTTCCTGTCCGTGGGTTCAGGCCAATCTAGGATCACAGAGACCTTCTGAGGGTCCATTGCGACCCCCGTGGTGGAGATAATCAGACCCAGAAATGTAACGCTAGCCTGTTCAAAGCAACATTTCTCTGCTTTAGCGTACAACCCGTGCTGCCGCAACCGCCCCAACACCTTTGTTACATGTACCCTGTGCTCCCCCAGGGAGGATGAGAAAATCAAAATGTCATCTAAGTAGACGATGACAAAGATGTCCAGGAAGTCCCTAAAGATGTCGTTTACCAAGTGCTGGAAGGTGGCCGACGCATTGCACAACCCGAAAGGCATGACCAGGTATTCGAAATGGCCGAAACGGGTGCGGAAGGCCGTTTTCCACTCATCCCCCTCCCTTATGCGAACCAAGTTGTAGGCTCCCCTTAAGTCCAGCTTGGTAAATACTCCTGCAGCTTTTAAGCTCTGGAATAATTCTGGTACCAGTGGTAATGGGTAACGATTTTTGATTGTGACCCTATTCAGCTCCCGATAGTCAATACATGGCCTCAAAGTCTTGTCTTTCTTTTCTACAAAGAAGATCCCTGCACCTGCTGGGGAAGTGGAGGGACGGATGAATCCCTTCCGGAGGCTGTCCTCAATATAAGCCTTCAGGGCCCCTAATTCTAGCTCAGAAAGGGGAAAACTTCGCCCGAAGGGAATTTCAGAACCGGGTAACAGATCAATAGGACAGTCATATGGGCGGTGGGGGGGTAGAGTATCTGCTCCCCGTTCACTGAACACATCAAAAAACTTATGATAGGCTGCAGGAATCACTTGTTTTAGGCTGGCATCCCCTTCAGAGCACAGGAGGACCTGAGGGACCTCCGGGCCCGAAGTTCGGCACAGTTCCCGACAGTATGGGGAAGGGAACGAGACAACCCCAGTTTCCCAGTCAATTTGGGGTTATGGGCCCGCAACCATGGGAGCCCCAGAATGACTGGGAAAAGGGGTGATGCAATAGCATCCAGGCGGAGGAGTTCCCGGTGCTGACCGGCAATGGAAGTCACAATGGAAGGGGTCTCCTGGTTAACCACCCCTGACTTTATCCGGGACCCATCAGCCAAAAAGATGTGAAACCCCTTCTCCTTTGGACGGAGGGGGATACCCTGCTGGTGAGCAAAATTGATATCCACAAAACAGCTGCATGCCCCCGAATCAACTATGGCCGTCACCTCCACGGTCCTTTCTGAAAGCTGAAAGGAGAGGGGGACAACTAAGTATTGGGACGGATTCATATTGCCAATAGATAAAGAAGATGAGGTGAACTTACTCAGTTTCTGCGGGCAGGAACGTACCATGTGACCAGCTTCACCGCAGTAGAGACACAGATTCTGGGAGCGTCTGCGCTGGCGTTCCTCTGGCGGTAGTTTAGGCCGTGCCAGGCCTAGCTGCATGGGTTCGGGAGCATCTTCAGACGGCAGGTTCTGGATGTTTGGCCTAGTATGTTGACTGGATCCTTGGAATGACCCCCAGGTATTTCCGCGACCCTGACCAGACCTCTCCAATCTGCGCTCCCGTAGCCTACGGTCAATTTTAATGGTGAGTGCAATCAAGTCCTCTAATGTCTCGGGCACCTCCACCCGGGCGAGCTCGTCTTTCAGAGCCTCAGATAGGCCCATACGGAACTGGTGCAAAAGTGCGAACTCATTCCAGCGAGTGTCTCCCATCCAGCGCCTAAAGTCAGAGGCGTATTCCTCAGCCGCTCGCCGACCTTGTCGGAGTGCGTATAATGTGGCCTCGGCCGAGGCCGCCCGTTGTTGGTCATCGTATAAGATGGCCATAGCGTTAAAGAAGTTGTCAACCGTAACCAGATGGGGATCATTATTTCCCCTTAGTCGGTGGGCCCAGTCTTGGGGTTTACCCCCTGCAACAGGGAGATAACAAACCCCACTTTCACCGATTCTGTCAAAAAGGTCCATGGTTGCAGTTCAAAGTAGAGCAGACAGGAGTCACGGAATGACCGAAAGCGTGTGCGATCCCCGTGGAAGCGCTCGGGTAAGGGTACTCGGGGTTCCGCCATAGGGAGTGATGCAGAAGGCCCAGGAGCCGGCTCGTGGGCTGCTGCGACCGGAGGTGCAGGAGCCGGGGCCTGTGAATGGTGCAGGCCTGAAACCGATTCTCAATCTGCAAACATCTGTCCTGCAAAGAGTTTACTGCTTGCGTCAGGGTAGCCAGGTGCCTGCAAACCTCCTCCATCGGGGAGGGTCCTCCTCGAGGCTCAGTCATGGCCTTCTGGTACTGTGAGGGACCGCCGAGCAGCACCACTAGCACTCCACTGGTCAGGCGTGCCCAGAGCGCGGAGTCTAAGCCCCAGGGTACTTGTTCACCAGGGCCCCTGATGGTGGGGATGGACTTGTAGTACCCCGAGACCAGGTTGCCACTACTGAGCACACCTGTCAGTGGTAGGGGTTTTCGCCAGGGGCTCCAACCAGGGAGAGCCAGATGTGAGGAGGTCGGGTGACCCCGATGGGATGGATGGATGGCTGAGCAAGTGAGAAGTCAGACAGGCCGAGTTGGTAACGTAGAGGACGGTAAGGTACAAGGGAGCAGGCAGAGAATCGTCGGGTCACACGCCAGGTCAGCAGCAGTAGGTCAGATCTAATGAGGGGCATCCAGGGAGAGAGGTCAGGCAAAGCAAGGGTCTGGGCAGGAGAAATCAGCAGGTCAAGAACAATCTGGGTCAATAAACTTACAAGGCACAGGTACAGAATCACAGGAAGCAGGTAAGACCAGAAGGCAACGAAATGACAGCTCAGGGACCTTTAAATATCCCGCCCTGCGCTGCCATTGGTGCCAGCGGGCGGCCGCGGCTTCTACTGCGCATGCGTGAACTCGAATGCCGCGGCTGCCCGGACCTAGTGCCTGTGTACAGGGCGGAGCAGTGCGCCTGCGCCGGGACCATCGCGGCAGGGATCGAGGGGATCCCTGACACTTTGTGTGTTTTGCCATCCGCCTTTTGTGTTCTGTCCTGCCTACCCTCCCTCACAGTGGGGATCCGCCCAGATGCCTGGACTGGCAGCTGGCTCAGCCTCTCAGAAAGCCACTGAAAGCCTGAGCCAGCCACTCCCACGCCCTCCACAGCCAAGTGCTCCAGTGAGCATTGGAGAGGCAGAGCAGAGATCCAGTGACTGATGGTCACCAGCTTTCTGTGGGCTGAAGACCGAGAGCTGATCGGTCAGCAATGTTTGATCACTCAGTTCTCGGTCTTAGAGGACAGCTACTGCTGGGATCGGTACTGCAGCCATCTAGGTAAGTACGAATGTTTATTTTTTTTTATTCCTGAACTTCTCTTTTAAGGGTGATGGTAAATCTCATGACCATGAAAGGGTTACAGCAAGCTATAGCTAGTCACACATGGTTTAATTTTTTTGCTCAGCCAGTGGGCTGAACAAAACAGAAACAAAAACGGAATTGGGTCCCTTATCCACCCATACGAGATAGATGAGGGGATTCCTCCTCACTGGGCAATTGTAGTTTGACAGAGGGGAGACTGCCCTGCTGTCAGATACAATAAATCAGTGCTACAACTGCTGATTGAGTGGCTTTTATATGAAGGGAGGTTCCGTATATATACACTTCTGTTCAAGTGCAGTGGCCCCACATGGATCGAAATTTGTCCGGTCCCTGTTGAACCAGCCAAATTTCCATCCACCTATTGCCACCTAATAGTTTGTATTAACCGCCTCCCGTCCGCGATATAAGGTAATGACGGGCGCAAGTCGGTTCTCTCGTTCTGGGAGGACGTCATATGACATCCTCCCATTCCAACCACGCATGCGCAGCTCCAGGGGCGCGCAGCGCGGCAATCGGTGGTGCGCTGTGTCCCTCCGACACAGCGGATCACCGATCCACGGAAAGAGCCGAAGATGTGATCAGCTTTGTCCAATCACAGCTGATCACATGTAAATTGGGAAATGCCAGTTATCGGCATTTCTCTCCTCCCGAGCTGTCACTCTGACAGCTCGAGAGGAGAGCTGGTATCGGCATTCCTCAGAAGGGACATCTACACTGATCATCAGGGCACTGATGATCAGTGTGCCCTGATGATCAGTATAGCCCCAGCAGTGCCACCTGTCAGTGTCCTTCAGTGCCAGCTGTCAGTGCCCATCAATGCCACGTGCCAGTGCCCATCAGTGCCTCATCAATGCCACATATCAGTGCCTACTAGTGCACATCAATGCCACGTGCCAGTGCCCATCAGTGCCTCATCAATGCTATATATCAGTGCCTACTAGTGCACATCAATGCCACATATCAGTTCCCATCTAAGCTGCCTTTCAGTGGTACCTATCAATGCCAGTCAGTGCCACCTATCAATGCCAGTCAGTGCCACCTATCAGTGATGCCAATCAGTGCCGCCCATCAGTGCCAGTCAGTGCCACCTATCTGTGCAAGTCAGTGCCATCTATCAGTGTGCATCAGTGCTGCCTATCAGTGCCGCCTATCAGTGCCAGTCAGTGCTGCCTATCAGTGCCGCCAATCAGTGCCATATATGAGTGCTGCCTTTCAGTGCCCATCAGTGATGCCTGTCAATGCCCATCAGTGCCACCTACCAGTGCCTCCTCATCAGTGCCACCTATCAGTGTCCATCAGTGCAGCCTATCAGTGGCCATCACTGCAGCCTCATTAGCGCACATCAGTGAAGGAAAATAAATCACTTATTTACAAAAAAAACTTTTTTTTTTTCAAAATTTTCAGTGGTTTTTGGTTTGTTTAGCAAAAAAAAAATAAAAAAAAAACAGAGGTCATTAAATACCCCCAAAAGAAAGATCTATCTGTCTCAAAAAAATGCTAAAAATTTCATATGGGTAAAGTGTTGCATGATCGCGCAATTGTCATTCAAAGTGGGACAGCGCTGAAAGCTGAAAATTGGCCTGGGCAGGAAGGGGGTATAAGTGCCCTGTGGTTAAAATTGTCCTCTCCACTGGTAATCTGGCCATAGATGGTTAGAATCTAGGCCGGTTTAGCAGGGATCGGCTGAGATTCAGTCCATGTATGGGTAGGTTGATTGTACCCAAGTCCATCCATCGATCGACTTGGGTACAAACAGTATGTCAGCATGTGAGTATTGCCAAAGACTGTAGCCGCAATAATCATTAGGTTCTCCTCCCTACGCCCCCCCCCCACCAAAAAATCACAATAGCTCCATGGGAGGGATGTTCTTTCTCTCTGTGGTTGCAGTAAAGAAAATTGCATCATCTATGGCCTGCCTAGAAGTGATCACTTTGGCAAAAAAAAAAAAAAAACTGGCCCTTGGGTATATCAGTAATTTCCTACAAAATTTTCCAGATTTTATATATTCAGTGTGACCTTTTTTTTTTTCTTTTTTGTGTACTTGTAAACAGGCATGGTCCACTTTTGTCACCATCAGGAAACGCACCTTGAGATGCCATGCATCCATCACTGTAATGTATGCATTTATGCAAGAAGTGGCTACAAAGAAGCTGCAGGAGATCCGCAACATTAAGATGCAACAAAAGAGAAAAAGGGTTCAAGCAGTATTAAAAATCATGACGATTGCTTTTAATACATACTGCTTTTGCAAACTCAATGTCATTCAGTAAGGCTGGCCATACACTATACAATTTTCTGTCCAATTTACTTTAGATTTACCTTCAACTATGTGGTGCGAGAGCCTGCCTAATTGGATACAATTGAAAGTGTTGTTAGTTTTGACCTCCTATTATATGGTTTTTGGTAAATCTAAACCAAAAATCTCAAGAAAAGTGTATAATGTATGGCCAGCCTTAGGGTTTACGTCTACTTTAATACCACTTTGAATTAGGCTGGCCAAAGATTATACAATTTTCTTGAGATTTTTGGTTTAGATTTACCAAAAACCATATAATAGGAGGTCAAACCTAACAACACTTTCCATTGTATCCAATAAGGCAGGCACTTGCACTACGTAGCTGAAGGTAAATCTAAAGGACATTGGACAGGTATTGGACAGAAAATGGTATAGTGTATGGCCAGGCTTAGGCTGGCCATACATTATACAATTTTCTTGAGATTTTTGCTTTAGATTTACCAAACACCATATAATAGGAGGTCAAACCGAACAACACTTTCAATTGTATCCAATTAAGCAGGCTCTTGCACTACATAGTTGAAGATAAATCTAAAGGAAATTGGGCAGAAAATTGAATAGTGTATGGCCAGCCTTAGCTATCATTTTGCTTTTTATAGTATTTATTTATTTCAGGTACTTATATAGCACCATCAATTTATACAGTGCTTTTACATATATATATATTGTACATTCACATCAGTCCCTAACCCTCAAGGGGTGTACAATCTAAAGTCCCTAATTCACACATACTAGGGCCAATTTAGACAGGAGCCAATTCACCTACCAGCACGTCTTTGGAGTGTGGGAGGAAACCAGAGTACCCGAAGGAAACCAACGCAAGCACAGGGAGAACATGCAAACTCCATGCAGGAGGCACCATGGTTGGGAATTGAACCCATGACCCATTTACTGCAAGGCAGCTGTGGTAACCACTAAGCCACTGTGCCGCCCCAAGTTGTATTGTATTGAACAATATCCCTGTTTTACCATGAGTGATATTTTATTTCTCATAAAGTTTTTGATAAAAACGATAACTCAGCTAATACTTCAGAAAACCTATATATATCATTTTTTTAAATATATAATATAAATATGATGGTGCAGTAAATCTGCAGACTGTCAAATAAAATATTGTCCCTCAAACCTTACTTTCCAATTGAACCGTAAAAAAAAAACAAAACCCTGGCTTCGCTGTTATCGCCGCTAAAGTAATTTAATCAGAAAATGTAGGACATGGATCAGCTTTCCACGCATAAAGATTTTTAGCAAATGCCAGAGGCTGTTTATTTCATGTGCTCTCAGCTTCCCTGCTCCTTCATTCCTCCCTGCCACTCCACGCCAGGATTTCCACTCTGCTCCCTTCTCTTACAATAGCACAGCGCAATGATTTAAAGTCCAACCACAGCATATCCATCCGCTCTCTAGTTTACTGCAAAGTCAGATTTGTAAATGCCGAGGGAAAATTAACTCGCTGCTGTCGCATAAATGCGGCGGACGTTGCCACTGAGCGAACGTCGATGGGAAATTCTTTATCTCGGCGAACCCAGTCTTCCAGAAACCCAAACTCTGGGGACTACTTGCAGTGAATGTGACCTTCTCTGCTAATGCTCAGCATTCTTGTGCTTTGAGCATGTCCTCTCCCTGCTCTGCGATGAGCTGTTCAAAGTGCTTTCCAACCCCCCCACTTGTTTTTCTTCCCACACAGTTAAAAAAAAAAAAAAAAAAAAAAGCTTTGCAGGAGGATATTACGAAGCTCCACTTTAATTTCGCTTGATTTGTTGCATCACAAAAAAAAAAAAAAAGGCCGCAGTTTGGTTTCTAGCAAAGTTAAAATGTTTTAAAACAAAGTTTCCAATGAAGGGAATTGGTCAGATGTAGGAAAAGGAGGGGTTAACCAATTTGACGTCATCGGTTTTTAAAAAAATAAATCCTCTCTATTGTCCCTTGTTATTATTATTATACAGGATTTATATAGCGCCAACAGTTTGCTCAGCGCTTTACAATATAAGCAACAATACAGTTCAATACAAGAGGGATAGGAGGGCCCTGTTCCTCGGAGCTTACAATCTAGGTGGTTAAAGAGTTGCTGCTTCAAGAGCACAATTTAGGAGCGAATTAACCCAACAGCATGGCTTTGGAGTGTGTGAGGGACAACATGCAAACACCATGCAGATAGCGTCCTGCGAAGAAGTGCTAATGACTAAACCCCAACCGAGGGTTAGGCACGTCTTTGTAGTTGCAGAAAAAAAAAAACCTGATTAAAGAAAAAAATAGTGATGGGGTAGCTATATCTGTCGATGAATTCCTGCCAATGTTGTTACAAAAAAAAAAAAAAAGGTTTTAATGAATGCATGAGAGCCTTTTGATCTTTGCGAGTCAGTGAGGTTCAGTTGTAGCTGCCCTGAAGGTTAGTTGCAAATCCTGGCTGATCCGAAATTCGATCAGTAGAGGGGGCAGAGGAAGCATTTGAACAGGAGAGGAAAAAAAAAAATCAATGTGAAAAAAAAAAAAAAAAAAAGCTGGCTAGGAAGGCTTGTCAGAAGAAACAGTGATTTTCAGAGCAGGCAGAACCTTCATCAAATGTGCTGTGTTCACAATCCTTCCACACCCCACACAGGAAGGCGAAAAACAGGAACCACAAAAGACTTGGCAAGCTATTTTGTGTTGGTTTAAAAGAGGAGCCGAGATGCAATCAACAGCACAGCAGTGGGCTGCGTGTGTCTCCGGCTGCAGAGTGTACACTTATTTATCAGCGCTGATCTGCACAGCGCCAGCAAGTTTGCAACACTTTGCAAGTAGTAAATAGATGAATATGTTAACCCCTCGCTGCTGGAAAGGCTGTAACACATGGCGTGCGATTTCGTAAACTGCTACGGATGTGTGAGATTTTACTTGGGGCTCTCAGTCTGCTGTAAATAACACGGGTTCTTTAGCTGTCGTAGAACAAAAAACTGGCAGATAGCAGTCAGTTTAACCACTTGCCCTCCAGAGGATTTACCGCCAGAGGCATGGCTAGGATTTTTTGCACCCGGGGATGAACTATAAAATTGGCACCCCAGCCCCCCTCCCCATTTAATCACATCAGTGACACCAATGATAGGGCGCTATTCCTCCGACTGACACCAATGACACTTACCTTGCTGACCCCTGCTCCAGCCTAGGCTCCTTCCCTCTCCCATCCACAGCCAGCATACCTGGTTGCAGCAGCACCATCTGCACGGCATACTTACTGGTCAGCTGTCTTCTTCCCTTGCTCCAGCCGCTCCCTCACTCGATTTTCGTGCTGCCGCTCGGCTCCTCCTCTCCAAGCTCCGCCTCCTCGCAGGTGATTGTGCCTTTCCTGAGCTACAGGTTTGGCGCCCAATCACCGGTGAGCAGGCGGAGCTTGCACAGGGAGGTACAAGCTGCCATAGGCTGTCTAGTGATCCCGAGGGTGTGGCCAGATGACAGTCATCCCGCCCACACATCGCGTCCAGGGAAAAGAAGACACTGGACCAGGGGCGGACTGACAACTCATGGGGCCCCCGGGCAATAGGGGATCATGGGGCCCCTGTGTCCTCGCCCACACTCAAACCACACCCAAAAAAGCCTATGAAATGTACCAGAGGCATCTCATGGGCCCCCCTACTGACCCTGGGCCCTCGGGCAGTGCCCGAGTTTCCAAATGGTCAGTCCGCCCCTGCACTGGACCTGCGTACCTCTCTACCCCTCCTCCAGCAGCGCCTCCTGGACTGGATCGTCGTGGGACTGGGACACGGAGCTAGGTAAGACACAGCAGCCTGCTGCCCACCCCTGTACTAAGTGTCCCTTCCATTGGAAGGGGGGGGCGGCGGAACCCTAGGCAAAAGCCTTGTTTGCCTCGCGGCAAATACGCCCCTGGTTGTAAGCCTCATTTTGGCGCCCCTGTACCTTGGCGCCCGGGTACATATGTACCCCCATTCCCCCCCCTAGCTACGCCTCTGTTTACCCCC